TTCATACTGCGAAGGATGGATTCCTGCTTCTGGACGTTGATTGGCACTTCTCCAAGCTCAAACTGGCCTCCAATGGTGTTGAAGATCAATCTAGGGCACTTGGGAACTCTTGCTCGTCACTTTCTCTCTCTAGGAACTGATCTCTCTCTCAAAAACTCGAATCCCCTTGACTTGTGGCTGAAAATCTGCTTAAAAGCATCAGTGGCCAAAGCACGGTCGAGGGCACGGCCGTGCTTTGCCTGACTCCGCCCGTGCCTCGGCCAGGGCTTAATTACACGGCCAGCAAGTGGTGGAAACACGGCCGTGCTTCGCGAAGGACACGGCCGTGCTTTGACTGAACACGGCCGTGCGTCAGTGCCCGTGTTTGCAACTGAATTGGCCAAACCAAATTTGCTCTCGGCATAAAAAGCACGGCCAGCAGTACACGGCCGTGTAATGCCTTGGGTCTGCCCGTGTTTTGGCTCCAGCTCACCGAAATGACTTCCGAATGCCCCGAAACTCGCGGTTAGCCTTCCCTTTAACGCCTGGGTCCTGAAACATGACAAAATAGCACAACCCGGCGTAAAATAGGCCAAAACACACGACTATACTCCTCAAACGGATAAGAACTAGGGGCGCAAACATGTGCATTTACATCGTTATCAGGTTCACCACCTGACCTATCTGACCTAAAGGTATTTGGTTGCCTTTGTTATGCTAGCACACTTGCACATAATAGAACCAAATTTTCACCCGGAGCAAAACCTTGTGTCTTTTTAAGCTACCCTCCTGGCATTAAAGGTTATAGACTCTATGGCCTAACAGATCATAAGTTTTTCTTTTCTATACATGTACTCTTCCATGAACATATCATTCCTTGCCTTCCTTTTCCTTCTACAGAAAATTCTGCTTCTTCTCATCCTTTACAAACTTTCTCTTCTATTCCTACAAATGATCATGTTCCTCCCTTTATGTCCTGAATCTTAAGACCAACACTGACAAACATTCTTATCCATTGGTTGCTTACATTTCAAATGATCAATTATCTGTGGAATATAGGAAGTATGTATGTGTTGTGGATTCTGCTTTGTTGCCACAATCTTTTGAAGAGGTTATGGAGGATGAAAGATGGAGAAATGCTATGAATGAAGAGATAAGAGCTCTATTAGCTAATGAAACTTGGGATGTGACTCATTGTCCCACTGGGAAAAGACCAACTGGATGGAGATGAGTGTTCACAATTAAGTATAACCCTGATGGATCATTTGAGAGGTATAAAGCTAGGCTAGTAGCCAAGGGATTTGCACAGATATATGGAGTGGATTTCCTTGACACTTACTCTCTTGTGGCTAAGTTGAACACAGTTAAAACCCTCATTGACATTGCAGTTGCCAAAGACTGGTCTATGTATCAGCTTGATGTTAGTAATGCATTCTTGCATGGAGATCTAGATGAAGAAGTGTGCATGGACTTACCACCTGGTTTCTCTCAGACAAGGCCAATTTGCCGTCTAAGGCAATCCTTATATGGTTTAAAATAAGCATCTCGTTAGTGGTTTTCAAAATTGACTTCAGCATTAATCAGTTTTGACTATATACAGTCACACAGTGACTATTCTCTCTTTATTCATCATGGTGATCAAGGCACTTCTATCCTATTAGTCTACGTCGATGACATCATTATTGATGGAAATGATGTACATGGCATGGCAAATTTGAAGTCTTTCCTTCATTCACCGTTTAAAATTCTTGATCTAGGCAATCTTCACTACTTTCTTGGTTTAGAGATTGCCAGATCAAAGGAGGGTTTACATATATGTCAACGAAAATATTGCACTGATCTTTTACAAGACACTTATTTTGCAGACAGCAAACTAGTAGTTACACCGATTGACATGAAGACCTATTTAACTGCAGATGATGGTCCTTTGCTTGAGGATTCTTCCTTATACAGGACGATTGTTGGGAGACTTCATTACCTAACCATAACTCATCCTGAAATTACCATTCATGTTCAGCAACTCTGTCAATATCAGGCTGCACCAACTGCTTCTCACCTTCAGCTTGCACACAGAATTCTTAAGTATTTGAAGAATGAACCAGGACAAGGTTTGTTTTATCCATCCCAGTCAAGCCTTCTTTTACAAGGATTCTGTGATTCAGATTGGGCATCATGCCCAGATACAAGACGATCCACAACAGGGTATTGTATTACCTTTGGGAAATCTTTGATTATTTGGAAATCCACGAAACAGAGCACTATTTCCAGATCATCCTCTGAAGCTGAGTATAGAGCTCTTACTCAGCTTACATGCGAGATTGTTTGGGTTAAGAGTCTGATACAAGAATTGAGTATTGATCATCCAGAACCTGTTCAGGTCTTTTGTGACAATCGATCTGCAATCTACATTGTAGAAAATCATGTATATCATGAGAGGACCAAACATATAGAGATTGATTGTCACATTGTTCGACAATTTTTTCAATCTAAGCTTATTAGTCTAAGTCACCTGGATATAGAGAACCAGATTGCGGATTTATTTACAAAGGGACTTAGCAGGTATCGACTCCAATTCTTGATGTCCAAGCTAAACATACATAATCTGTATGTGTAAGCTTGAGGGAGGCTATCACGATATGCGGGATTGGATATAGAGAACTTTAGCTTGAAGATTGAAGAATGAACAAGAAGAAGATGTCGAACAGAGGTTGTTACTAAGAGTTTGTATAAACGGAGTCCTTTTCCTCAGAAGCAATAGAGGAGCTGAGCCAAGGCGACGTTGTCTCATTATGCGACGGTCATTTTCATTATTACTGTAGATAGACAGATGTCTTTGTTTAATAGGCTGTAGTTTTGATTTTTAGTTTGTTACCGTTAAACTGTGATTAAGAACTGTACAACCTGTTTGTTTGGAAATATATATACAAGGCCTTTAAGGCACTAAAACCCTAACAGCCTGTTTGGATAGGCTAAATTTTGAGGAAATGGAATTCCAATTCTCAAACTTTTCATGATTCTCATGTCTGGAAGTAAAAAATAAAAAGGAAATGGAATTCCAAAAGGTAAAAAGTTGGAAATTCTAAATCCTACCAAAAGTGGTCGGAATTGGTGGAGGAGTGATGGAATTAGTGGATCCCACATTAATTTTGACTCGCCTTTACAAGAAAAGCCCTTGCTACTTTTGGATTTGAAATCATTAATACCAAGGATATTATTGTAAAAGCATTTGTAAGAAATCATTTCCATTTTTTTCCAAACATAAAAAGATATTATTGTAAAAGCATTTGTAAGAAATCATTTCCCAAACTTTTGGATTTGTTCCAAACATAAACTCTTGAAATGAATTTTCACTTGAATTCAGATTCTCACAAGAAATGAAATTCATTTTTCAACAGAATTATATCCAAACAAGCTGTAAGGGTTTTACCTAATTCTTATCCTCTTTCAAGTTTTCACAACTATCAAGCCCAATGATGAGGGAACCTTTTTCTCGCCTAGAATTTACCAAAAGCGGTGAAGTGAAAAAGAAAAACCACAACAATCATTTCATACATACCAATTCGGGATAATTCCCTAAATACAGATAAAAGTAAAACAAATTCCTAAACTACCACAATTATAAAAAAAAATTCCCAAAATACCTAAGTTTGGAGTGGTTCGAGTTTGAGGAACTCGAACTACTAACCAGTTCGAGTGTAGGAGACTCGATCTTAGATCGATGATATTAGCCTCGAACCATGTGGGGCTGAAGTGAAATCGAACCACTTCTTTGAAATTTCCAACAACTTTAACTTTGTGCTCGGTTATCCGATCGTAGCAAACTTTTTTTTCATTTCGCATAACTTTTTGAGGACTACAACTTTTATAATAGAAGTATTTTCAGAATATATGTGAAAATGTGAAAATTAAAGTTAAAGTTACTCCCAAAACCCTTTATATTAAAAATTATTCCTATTTTGAAAATTTATTCCTAGTAAATGTTGTAGTACTCAAAATATTATGCAAAAAAAAAAACATTGCGACGTTCGGATCACGGAGCACAAAGTTATGATCCTCTAAAGTTTGGCAAAATCGAAAAATTGCTCGTTTAGAGGTAACAAATGACATTTTCTCGGGGCGAAGGCACGGGAAATTTTTTTATATATAGAAAATTTCTACCAAAAGAACAATATTTTTCCAAACGAGAAATTTTTGGATGGCTATTTTCCTAGAAAACGTCATTTGCTACCCATAAACGAGCAAATTTTCGAATTTGTCAAACTTTGGAGGATCATAACTTTGTGCTCCGCAATCCGAACGTCGCAAAGTTTTTTTTTATTTTGCATAATTTTTTGAGTACTACAACATTTACTAGGAATAATTTTTCAAAATAGGAATAGTTTTTAATATAACGGGTTTTGGGAGTAACTTTAACTTTAATCTTCACATTTTCACATATATTCTGAAAATATTTCTATTATAAAAGTTGTAGTCTTCGAAAAGTTATGCGAAATGAAAAAAAGTTTGCTACGATCGGATAACGGAGCACAAAGTTAAAGTGGTTGAAAATTCCACATGGTTCGAGGCTTATATCATCGATCTACCACTAGATCGAGTCTCCTACACTCGAACCGGTTAGTAGTTCGAGTTTTTCAAACTCGAACCACTCCAAACTTAGGTATTTTAGAAAAAAAAAATTATATGTGTGGTAGTTTAGGAATTTGTTTTAGTTTTATGTGTATTTAGGGAATTATGCCTACCAATTCGCAGTTAACGGCTTACTACTAGACCTCCTTATTATAGAACAACAACAATACCAGTCACCGACTCACCGGGGACTTTTACCCAAATCCGGCATCATAAAGCCATTAATTAATATAGCTACATCATAAATATCAATAATACTAATAATAACCCCCACATACATATTATATTATATATATGACATACATAGAGGTAGCTAGCTATTTATAAGCGTAGAATAATTTTCTACTTCAAATATATCATCTACATTCTACACATATGCATCAACGTCACATATATTACGAATAATACCGCACTCCTCCTTCTCCAGCTTGACCCACAAAATAGTCCGGCGGCGAGAACATCAGCTGGGAGCCACCCACCGGCGGCTGGCGAGAGCAAGCTTCTTCCGGATGGGTGCAGTAAGATGTAGCACTGCCCCCCAGATCCGGAGATCTGGTGAAGTAAAAGGAGGCCGCCGGGTCCTCGTTGTAGTAGTGCACTTGACGATTGCGATAGTGATGGTCCATGTCAGCGGCAGCATGATGAGTAGTAGTATTGTTGATTAGGGTTTGGTGGATGAGGATCTGGGCCTTGAGGAAGTTGACGTAGTGAATGGCCTGGTCCAGCATGGAGACGGTGTCCATCTTGGCCCCGCCGGGGACCAAGCTCTGGAGGATCTTGAAGCGGTCGCTGATCCGGTGGCGCCTCTCCCTCGCCGCCACGCTCTGCGGGTCCGTCGACAGCTTGCAGCAGTAGTTGCCGACGCCGCCGCCCTTCTTCTTGGGCTTGTGCTTGTTATTATGACTGACGTTAGAGGTCGTCGGGTTTGTAGAGCTGGAGCTAGCAGTGACAGCAGCGGTGGCGAAATAGTCCATGATCGACAGAGGAGTGAAATTAATATGTGTGGGGGGAGGGAAGGGTGGCGGTGGTGCAAGGGAAATGGGAGGCGGGGCGGGGGCTATCTATATATAATTAGAGGAAGAGGAAGAAGAAGGGAGAAAGCAGGGAAGGGGAGACGTCACATGGGGTCAGCAGGCAGGCAGACAGGGGTATGAAATGAAATGATGATCTTTGGGCTGGGCGCGGGATACGGGGTGTTTTCTTTTCTTTCTCATCTCTTCTCATTTCAGTTGTGGTGGGGACGGGGACTATACAGTGTTGCGTAGCTACTAGCTAGCTAGGGGCCCTGCAGGCAGGGCTTTGGTTTGGTGGTGGTTCGTTCGGCTAAGGAGATCGCAACTTGCTTTCTTTGCCTTCTTTTTGTTCCCCATTTCTTTACCCATTGCAGCACACTTTTGTGTTTTTGTTTTCGTTGAATTGAATGCACTTTGATTTTTTTTGGTTTTGATGCCTCTCTCCCCCTCTGCGTGACCCACCTTCAAGCGAAATTCCGCTGCAGCTACATGGTGGGACGGTTTGGAACTTGTACAACTAGTGTCGTTGCAGTTGGAAATTCTGTTTTCTGTTTTGATTATGAGATTTTTTTTTTCCTTCAATGAAAAAGGAATAAAATTATTTCGGATTAATTACTGAAAGATGCGATTTTAATTAGGGGTAATTGTTTTTGTTAACGTACGTGAATTTTTCTGCTGCTATAAGTAGGGTCTCGCCAGACCCACAATTCACACAACTCACGGAGCAGAAACACGAGAGGGTATTCTTCAAAGAGCTCTGGTTTTGCCGTTTTGGTCTAGCCATTAGTCAAAGGAAGTGGTTGTTTTATTCTTAGAGGAGACTGTCGTCATAGCTCCTCTGACCAATTCCTCTAGCCGGCAAAGTGGCGATTGATGAATACGGTCCACAACATGAATAACGTCCATATGTTTGGTGAAACATGTTGTTGATTGGAATTTTGTTGGTGTTTGATAGCAACTCGTTTCCCCCGAGTTAGGATTTTGCTTGTAACTCACAAGCGAGAGATCGACTTTGGCTTCGAAAGACCTTTTCTTATTAATTCGATAACCGACACTAACACCGAACATACATATTTATAGGGCAAAAACTCTAATACCTGACTAGGCCACTCGGCCTCTACCCCTAATATGCCACCCCGAAGAAGTCCAACTCCTCGTGGATTACGTACTAGGCCCTAACCTACAACATAATACTAACCGAACAAGCCCAAATCCGTAACATAATAATAAAACGTAAACTAGAAATAACAACTAAGCCGGCTAGACTACGAGTTGCTATCAGTGTTTTGAGTTTCTTGTTTGTTGTCACAACTTCTTAGAACACAAGATGGATATATAAAAACCTATATTAAAGGAGCCTTATGTTTTTCGTTACGACGACAATTAAAGGAAGGGTGCAGTGCAGCTGGGGGGCCGGGGTTTTGGCCTCTGAAATCGAGGGATTTTTCCAGAAATAGTACCTTTAAAAAAAAATTACAAAAATAGCACACATCCGTAAAAATTTCCACTAATAGCACCCATTTTAATAGAACGCACCTTGTAGATGCGTTTTACATATAAATCGCACCCTACAAGTGCGTTTTAAATATAGATCGCACCCTACAAGTGCGTTCCAAAAATCTGGAATCAAATCGCACTTTAGCCAAGCGATTTTAGGTCTGACCTAGTAAAATCGCATGGCCGAGGTGCGATTTTAGGTCTGACCTACTGAAATCGCATGGCCAAGGAGCGGTTTTATGTCTGACCTAGTAAAATCGCATGGCCGAGGTGCGATTTGTTTCTGCCAGACAAAATCGCACCATGAGGATGCGATTTTAACATGCAAACCGCACCTTAAAGGTGCGGTTTTGGTCAATCAATTTCCGACATACCATACAGACGTTACAGACGTGGGTCTGCATGGGCCTGCATGGCAGACGAAAATCGCATCTCTAAGGTGCGGTTTTCATCAAGATTTTTCCTATAAAAGGCCTCCCGGACAACCATTTCTCTTCACACCTCTCCTTCTCCCTTCCCTTTTCAATTTTCTGTTGTAGCTCTATATTTCTTTAGTAGTTTTGCGATTAACGTTAACTCGTAAGTTGATTTAGTATTACTTTTTATTGTTAATTTTTTTTTATGATATTAACTTAACTACGGTTTTATCACAGATGGCATTCCAAAAGTTCACGCTTGGCTTACGGTGGAATGGTTACACGGAAGAGACCGGAAAGGGTGCCACCTACGTAGGTGGCAATTTTCAGAAGATAAAGGTCGCTACCAGACCGCTGCTTGAAGACCTCCATCAAATGTGCACTAACGTTACTTGCATGGATGGCACGAGAAAAGTTGATCGTATGGTGTACCGATATCCAAACAGAGAAAGTGGGTCATTGTGGCATGAGGAATATCTCATAACCACTCAGGATGAGGTAGACGCCATGCTCGAATTCATGAGGTCCAACAATCTTTCCAAAGCCGAGATGTTCGTTTACACTGAGCCGGTCGTAGGCGTTGGAGGTCATTCTGGACACGGTCAAACATCTGGTATCCATGGTGGAGGTGAATACTATGGCGATCATCCCTACCAAAGTTACCATCATCCTAATTCATATTTTCAGTACCAAGAGCAAGGTGAAGGTCATCATCAATCATATGAAGAAGAAGTTCAACCGGACCGGCCCAACCAACCTCAGTACAACTTCCTCTCAGGCAGCGGTAGTTTTCACAACTACCATTATGGAGCTGATGAAGGTGCCTTTCATGAGCTGGATCAAATGGAGGATGTCATGGCAGCACCAGTCAGTGACCCCTCCGATGAAGAAGGAGAGAACAACGTCTGTGCAGACAGCTCCGACCCTCTTGAAGGTGCCGATGATTCCGGACCAGAGTCAGACTCAGCTAATGATGATGAGGGGGCTCGTGACCGTGTACCAGTCCCCTACTACAATCACATTCCAGACGACAATTGGATGGTCGACAGCGACATGGAGCCGCCAGAGGTCCCAATATGGGGTCCACTCACTGGGTTTATGAAGGGCCAACAATTTGACTCGAAGAAGGATGTGCGTCACGCCATTGAGACAGAAGCAATGACTCGGCATTTTGAATGGCTCACAACTCATTCCAACACTAAAAGGCTCTTAGTCAGATGCCGTAATCATCACGAGGGGTGCAATGTTAGGATTCGGGCCATCAACAGCAAGAGACACGGTTGCTGGGTCATATCCCGTGCGGTGAACACACACACACATGTGTGTCATCCATAACTTCCCAAGGCCATCGACAGTTGAAATCCAGGGTGGTTGCTGCGGCTATCAAGCATCTAATTGAGCAAGAGCCAGACCTAAAGGTGAAAGTCATAATCGCTGACATTGCAAGTCGTTATGGTTATATGATTAACTATAAGAAGGCGTGGCATGGAAAGCAGAAAGCTCTGGCCGCCGTCTTTGGTGATTGGGAAGAATCGTATGCATTCCTTCCCAGATTAATTTTGGCATTGGAGGCGTCTAACCCTGGCACGGTTTTCTCCCCTCGATACCAAAATGAAGAGATACAACCCCCAGAGCCAGGTAACAAGCGCCATTTCAGACGACTTTTCTGGGCATTCAAGCCATGTATTGATGGTTTTGGCTTCTGTGTCCCTGTCATCCAAGTGGATGGAACATTCCTTACCAGCAAGTACAAGGGCACTCTCCTGATTGCCAGTGGGGCGGATGCAAACAGACAAGTCTTTCCTTTAGCCTTCGCCATCATTGAGGGAGAGAATGTTGATAGCTATGGATGGTTTTTCGGGCAAATCCAGATCCATTGTACTAGGAGGACGAACCTTACAATAATCTCTGATCGGCACGCCGGCATTAGAGCTGCCATCTTAGGTTTAGATCCAGCCTGGAAGTGGTCCCAAAGGTCGTGCATACGACACTTCAAGAGCAACTGGAACCATCATTTCAACTGGAACCATTCATCAACAAAAACTCCTTCTCCTTGCCACCAATCGGCCATTTTTTCGGCGCAATTCGGACAGAGTTTCGGCTCGGCTCGGAGGGTTTTGAGGAAAAAACCTAAGAAATGTTTTCTAATGGCAGATCGGACTTTGCCGCAACCAATAGACCACTATTTCCTAGGCTTTTGGGAGGGGGATGGTTTAGAGAGATAAAACTTAGAGAGAGAAGGAAGAATGGGTTGTGGTGTGAAGAAATGAGAGGGGGAGGGGGGCTATTTATAGGATTCAGATCGCAGGCTCCAGGGACGAGGCGGTAATTTTGCGCCGCGCGGATCGCATTCTTCCAATGCGTTTTCCGCTTCCCCAGGCGCAGATTGCACCCTCCCAATGCGGTTTGACTGACCTCGGCGCGGATTGCATTGCTGGCGTGCGATCTGGGATCCAAGGCGCGGATCGCTCCGCTGGCGTGCGCTGAGCCGTTGGATCGTCCGTCAATCCGACGATCTTGTGGATCGCAACGCGTCCTCCCCAAATCGCATCAGTCTGGTGCGTTTTATATTATGGATTGCACCCCTCTGATGCGTTTTACATGTAGATCGCATATGTTTGGTGCGTTTTACATTTAAAACGCATCTTAGGGGTGCGTTCCAAAAAATAAGGTGCTAGTTTTGTAATTTTTTTTACATGGGTGCTATTTTTGTAATTTTTTTTTTAAAGGTGCTATTATTGGAAAAATTCCTGAAATCGAAGCTGATATGCTCGCAGTTGTGCCAAAATCCGAGGAGTAGAGGGTCAAAAATCGTTGCCTGGGGGTCGGTCTCCATTCGATTTTACGAATTTTAAGTGCTCTCCTACTGTAGATGTTCCCTCTTTTTGGTCTCTGTTTGATTACCGTTTCATTTATACGCTTTCCTTTATTAATCATGAAAACCAAAAAGCAAAGGAAGGCAGATATATGGGTTTAAGGTGGTCTTGTATCAATCAGGAGCTCTTCTTTTAGAGAGGAAATTTTGTAACAAAGTTACGATTTGTTATT